CCTGGAGGTTTCTTGCCTATTCAGAACGCTTGGAGCGGGACCATGACCCATCCCCCACTAACCTTATTTGTTTTACAGAGACTGTTTCCAGCCAGAGATGGGTATGGTTTTCCTTGCCTTCAGGGAATCCTAAGACAGAACACCCATGATGAAATGCGTGATTCCATGACGGGCACCCCTGGTAGGTTGAAGGGAGCCTCCTAAAACAGGTGCAGTCATTGTCCTGATGCAGAAGCACAGGTTTCTTTTTATTAATTTAAGAGAGAGGAATTGTGGGGAACCAAAATATTTCCACTATGGAATATTTTGAGATCCAGCCTTTGGTCTCACTAAACATGGGGCACTGGAAAGCTCCGGCCCACTATTGTATTGTTAATGCCAGTAAGGCTACTACTATTGTTTACCATGGCCTCAGAGTAATATGCCTCTTATTTGATCTCTGTGGACCTAAGCATCTGAATAGGCCCTCACCTGGGCAGGGAGGGCAGAGGTGTGTGAATAACTTGTGAGGACAGAAGGTTAGGAGTTAGGGGCGAGCAATCAGAGCAGAGAGAACAAAGAGAGATGGTTCCCTCATGGTGTTGGCAGCATGGTTAAGAAACACCAGAAAAGATGGCTAATAAAGAAATGACTCTAGTTCCACAACATGGGACTGAGAGCTTTCTAATGATGACAAGATGCCTGTGTTTGATCTTTATTGCCGTTGGGTTGCTGGGAGTTTCCAGGTCCACACCCCCTCACTCAGGTAGAACCTCATGGACTAAGGCTGAGACGCGCCGGGTCACGACACCTGGCCTTCTCCCCAGTTCAGGTCCAGAGGTGGATTTGCAAAATACACTTGAATGTGTTCAACCAAGGAAAGAAGATGAGCAAGGCCAGAAGGCCCCTCTCCTCTGGGAGTACAGACGCTCCTTGATTTACAAGGCAATCATGCTCAACAGTCCGACTGTAAGTTGGAAATGGCATAATTCAAAAATTCACAGAACACATCCAGCCCCCCAAACATCACAGCTTAGTCACACTAGTATAGTGTCATTTGCTGGCACTTGTGACCACATGGTGCCACGAGAGATGATCTTACCACATATTGCTTGCCCAGCTGAAAACTGAGCTGGGCATTGGTGGCACACACCTTTAATCCCAGCACTTAAGAAGCAGAGGCAGGAGGATCTCTGTGAGTTTGAGGCCAGCCTGATCTACCAAGTGAGTTCCAGGACAGGCTCCAAAACAATACAGAGAAACCCTGTCTCAGAATAAAAATTTTTTAATGAAAATTAAAAATTTTTAAGCATGGCTTCTACTAAATGCATATTATTTTGCACCATTGTAAAGATTTTATTTCCAAGACTGTTCAGTCCAACTATTTAAGTTTGGGGCTTGAACATTTATATTTTCCAGTATTTAAATTTGGACACACCCACTCACACCAGTGATTACTTAGGCAAGAGTTTGGTCATCTTAAAAAAGCTGTCCCTGTCTAAATGCTAAGTGGATGCCTAGGTTGAGAGAATTCCATATGCTGGGCTTCTCATAAACAACAAGGTAGGAGTGTGTGTGTGTGTGTGTGTGTGTGTGTGTGTGTGTTTCTGGGTCCTGTCAAGTCTAAGGTCAAGGTCCCAGCAATGTTACTGTGTGAGAAGGGTCCATGCCTGGTTCACGGAGAGCCACGTCCTTGCTTTGCTCTCACAGGGTGACAGGGAAAGGGAACTGTCATTCCTCAGAGGCTCACACCCTAATATCATTCACTGTGACTTGTGTGGTTCAAAAATACTATCGTAATGGGCTTGGTTTGATTTCTCCAAACGTTTCCCTAAAATGTCAGTAATGGAGACTAGAGGGGCAGCTCAGCAGTTAAGAGTATTTGCTGCTCTTGAAGAGGACCCGAGTTCAGTTCCCAGCACCCATATGGTGACTCACAACTCTCTGTAATTCCAGTTCCAGGGAATTGTATGTCTTCTTCTGACCTCTGAGGATGCCAGGTACATACATAGTACACATACATACATGAAGGCAAACACAAAAATAAAAATAAATACATTTTTTAAAAGTCCATTGTTGTCTGAACTGGTAACAGAAACCCAGAACACAGCAGCAAAACCCCATTCTTTAATGAAACATCATTTTTAGACAAGGACTATCATTTCCCCATGTTCTTGCCACCTGAAATTTTACATGAAATGTAGTTACTCAAAATAAAAAAAAAACAAAAACCTTATATGTATAAATAATACTTCTCTTTGTTTTTTTAAAAAGATCCTTTTTAGATTTTGGGGGTTTCTGATCAAAAGTTTGATCACAATCTGCAAAACAAACTTTAAAAACACCTATAAACGACAAGGGACCATCTCCTCCCAAAATCCAGGGACAATACCAAGAACTCTAAAAATCAGCAAAGAGGCCAAACTGATGGCATGTTCTGTGTTTAGAGAATTATGTCAACAGGCTGAGAAATTTATGAATACCATGATGAATTCATGACTGTGTAGAGGGAACACTGAGAGAGAAACTTTAGAGAAAACTGAATGAGTACACAGCCTCATCTCAGTGGTTTGGAGTTTCCACCCTGGGGTGGAGGTTCTAGCTTCTGCTAACTCAGAGTACACTAGAATTTGAGCTTGGAGACCCAAATTCCAAATACTTCCTTAGGTCATTTGTCCCAAATGCAGTTCTTGGGTCTTAGAGCTCCATGACACCCACAGGCTTGGTCCCAGATAAAAGGGAAGGTCAACCAAAGGGCTATCCTCGAGCCCCTTTATCCATACACACCCAGGGACAGTCGCAGAAAGGCCACTGAGCAATTGGGAGGGCCAAAGTGGGGGTGCCTGTGTCTTTCTGCAGAGTGGACTGTTCTTGGAAGCCAGGCTGTGGTTCTCTGCAGGACTGTGTCACGTGTGAATGCCTGTGGGTGTCAGCTTCCAGAGAAGGGGCCCCCAGCAGCCCTTGTTGAATCAGATGTTGTCTTCTGGGAATGTGTCATTCACAGGCCTAAATAAGGGAGTCCATAAGAGCCTCATTATTGTAATTTGGTCGCTGTTGAAGCTGTGTGCTTCTGAAAAGAATCACACTAAGAGAATTATCAGTGTCACCAGGGTGACAACCCCATCTCTCCCCGCCTCCCACTTTCCATGGAATTTGTCAATCTTATTTAGACTTTTAAAGGTTAAAAATACAGAATTTTTATCTCTGTGGAGTGAGGTTGGTGACAGATACCTTATGTATCATGATTCCTGTCACACCCTTGGCAGACAAAATGAGACAAAAATAAAACCTGCATGTTCGTGCACACATACACACACACACACACACACACACACACACACACACACACACACACCCCAGATACAAACAAAAACAAACACACACACACACACACACACACACACACACACCCCAGAGATTTACCAGAACAATGGGATAAGCTGTGTCTTTTGCCATATAAAGCTTTCCCTGGGTGGGTGTGCCAGCAATCAGGCCATGAGAATGGAGGCGAGCCTCAGTTCAGGGCCAAGAGAGCTGGAAGAGATCTCAGTTTTAAAGGGAGAGGGGTAATGTGTGGATCCAGCACCAGAGTCTGATGATAAGCCACAGTCAGTGGGTTGGCACTGTCACCCTGCCCTGATTAAGGCTTTGATAGCTGATCCTTACATGCATACATAGACACATATATACAGACATATATTATTATTAATAATAACACTTGAATTTTTTTGTTTAAGAACAAAATACTCCCATGCATGTCCCTTCCCCTTTCTTTGTACCATTCTAGCTTTTGCTCCCAGCAGTCATTTCCGTTGGCTGACATCCTCCAGTTGGTATACTGTCATCTTTTTAAAAAAGAAAAACCTTCAGCTCTCACAAACACTTTGTTTAAGGTGATGGTCCATCACAAAGGAATTCTGGTGCTTGGGAGTTAGACCATCTCTAACGGAAACACTCTCCTGTGCCTCCCTGTGTTCACCACCAATCCAACAGGACTTGCGGTTATGTAAACATTTAAAAATTATTTCAACATAAATGCTCTTATAAAGCTAACATACCACAGCTTTTAGCTCATAATGCCCAGAGATGCCTTAATGAAATGCCATTCAAAACTACCTTACTATTTCAATTATACTTTGAGGTGCTAAAATTATGTAAACATCACCCTCTACACTTCTCTAGAACAAGTGCCAGAGTGTTGAGAGTTCTTCGTGCAAGTTAATGGCCACACCCTGCTTAATTGCAGCAAAGTTGCCAATGCACTCTTTAACCTGTCTGGCGACGTGAAGTGTGCCACAGACTGACTTGCTCCAGACGATGACGACTCTCACATAGCTGGAATTCCTAGTTTTCACTTAGCGAGACCTGAATTGTTCCTGAGATGACTTGGCAAGTCTTGCACATGCTGTTTGAACCGGCTGTCCAGGGATTGAAGCTCACTAGAGCAGGTTCCTCCACAGCTGGGACTGCTTGGAGGCCAGTGGGAACCCCAGCACAGGTGGCCTCCTCTCAGCCTCTGAGTGTGGTCTCAGCTGGGATGCTCACCAGCGAGTGTTCTGCTGGGAGTGACCACGGATTCTCTCTCATGAATGGAGACTAATGATGGGAGCACCCTAGAAGAGGCAAGGCTGGCCAGTGACAAGGAAAGGCTTGAGGTCTTCCAACTCCATGACGCTGGTTCCCTGGCTAAGCCTCCTCTCTGTGCACCTGGATGCCTCTTTAACTCTTATGTCAATAGTTTCCTCATTGGCTGGACTCTGGAAAAACTAAGTAAAATCTTTCAGCCCCACCTGTCACAACTCAGCCACTGCCAAGATTTTATCCTCGATGCCCAGGTGCTAACGGAAGGCAGCCAAGTCATCAGTGTAGGCTCATGCTGCCTGTCACCTATGGAAGCCAGTCCAGCGTGGAGGAAGGGGTAGACTAGGTTGGCCTTTTGCCCCATAGGAGCAAGGGCTGGAGAACAAGTGTGAAGAAGCACAGCTTGTTTGTCACTAACTTCAAATGTTAACCTTCTTTAAGAGCTGCAGTTAATAACACTGCAGCTAGAACCAATGGGACTCTTTTTCTTCCTGTTGGCCAAAGGCATGTACTTTCACCCAGATACCTGTTTCAAGGACGTGGTGTGGGTTTTTGTTGTTGAAAAAAATGCTGTACACTGGGGGCTGCTCACTCACAGGTGTTTAAAACATCCTTAGTCTCTGTCTTTCCTGAACCTTGGCGCTATTTCCTCATGTGCAAGGCATCCTGGAACTTGGTGCTGGTGTATCGGGCATGAAAGCCTTTTTTGTTGATGGTGTCATCTGTGTGGAGTCGGATCATCAGCGAGTCCCCTGCAGAGTAGATTTCCTCTAGAGGCTGGGGAAAAGAAAAAGGAAAGCTAGATTTTAGGTCAGTCTGTTATTGTCGGAATACAGAGGAGGGTGTACTGAGATGCTGCCCAAGGATGGCCATGGCTGCTATGAGGTCACCAGAAGCTCTGTTGGGTACCCAAGCAGGCTCCTTCTTTCCTTGGGCCCTGCTTTACAAAGTTGAGCCTAGACACAAAGTACATTCAGCATCTATGTGTTAACCAGGGCACCCGTGGGTCTGGCACTGTGCTAACCACATCCAGATCTCATCTAATGCAGACTTCACAAGTGTGTAATAAGGCAGGTACTGACTCCATTTTACACGTGTGGAACCTAAAAGTTAAGTTCACATAGGTCAGCAGGACCCACACTCTGCTTTTTCTGGTTGTGAAGTTTGTTCTGCCAATCTCCTGCTCTGCGGTTTTTAACCTTGTGATGTGTCTGCCAGGAGACCTGAAGTGAAGACCATTGTTCGGGTCTACATTCTGTCATGGCCAGCAAGTGGGTGGAGCTGCTACATTTGCCAGGAGGTTCTGCCAGGTGGTCTGGAATGGGGTTAGAGACAGATGCCAAGGTCACTGCCTGCCAGAGCCTAGGGATGCCAAAGGGGACGTCCTGCTAGTTAAGATCTCTAAGGGGCTCCTCTCTATGAACTCCTTGGCTTTAGAAATTTTATCAAAGGCAGTGCATCAGGTGGTCTCATTTGGTGTTCTTTCTTTTGAGGAGGACAAGGAATGACAGAAGGATAGCCATTCAAAAACGTGAACACCAGGCTGAATGTCTGTTTTGCACCAGGGTCGGTGGTGATTCCAAAACGATTTGCATAAGCCCAGGCAACAGCAAAGAAGTGTGAGCCATCAGCAGAGGCAAGGTTGAAGCCCAGGACAGATGCTGTATCCTGTGGTGTGGCTGGGGAGTGGCCAGAACATTGTGTTCACTTGTTCCCATACACCCACTGAGCACAGACTATATGTCCACCCTAAGTCAGGTGCTGGAGACAGAGTGAGCCCAGGAAGTGAGCAATAAAGAGAAAAGTAATAACCTTGAATATAAACACTGTGCTTCTACCAAGAATGATTTGTAATCTTCATAGACACTTGGTTTTGCTTATGATAAGAACTGTGAACATAGTGAATATATGCAAACATAATGAATTAATAAAACCCAAAGGCCAAGTAAAAATGAGAGAGAGGACTCAAAAGCAGAGGCAAAGTGAGAAAGGGTAGAGTGTTCTTCCACAGCTGATGATGTCCTTTGTGTCGCTGGAAGGCCCCTGGCTGCTTCCTGACCTGTCTCAGTGGAATCTCTCTTCCACTCTGCCACAGAAAAAATGGACTGCTGGCCGTGGCTCATAGTGGCAGGGTTCTGTCTAGGTGTGACATCAGTAGGTAGCCTGGGCATCCCTCAGACTCACCCCTGAGCCACAGAAGCGGCCGAGCCTGGGTGCTGAGCTGTCGTAGCCATCGTAGGCCTCCATGTAGTCATAGCCACAGTCTGCCTCTTCCTCCACCTCAAAGGTCTGGAATATCAGCTCCACGCCATAGCCATCCTCTGCCACGATCACCCAGTCACAGCGGGCCTGGCTTGGGTAGTTGTTGTCCCCAAACTGGGCGTGGGAATAGAGCTCCTTGGTTTGCACTTCAGCTTTCAGCCTGCCCCCACACTCTGCAGCAGAGAGAGAACAAAGACTCTTTCACTAGGTACCCAGAGCCTCAGCATCAGCCCACCACTTCCCATCAGCTTCTTTGAAGTCCGGTGCATACCTTGTAGGAGGGGATAGGTAACCTCACCATCCTACCGCATGAGGAGTGAGTAGAGGCCAGTAATGCAGAGGGCAGGACTCTCTGGGGCATCCAAATGGGCCCAAGAACGCCGCGGAGAAAGACTAGCTGTTGCCTTCTCTCCCTACCAAGGGGGAAAAGGAACCAAAGAGTGGCTTGCCTGACTGGTTACTGGGATGTGGCTGATCAGACTGCTCCAAGTCTTGGAGGTGCTGGAAGCAGAAAGGGCTCCTACCGGCTGTAATTTATGATGTCTGACAGTAGAGGGCGATGAAAGCATATCAGAACTGCAGCTGGGCCCAACAACACAGAAACCTCTGGGGCTAGGGTGGACGAGTGGGGGTGGGAATGCAGAGCTACTTCTGATGTGGATGGTAGACTACTTAGCTCTTAGCATCCCAGCTGGAGTGCTTCACCTGTGTTGGCTGGGCCCTGGCCAACTGAGACCTTACTCTTGTCTTTACTCTGGCTACATGTCTCTTCATGTCTGACCTGCCTTTCAACTCATGTGACATTTGATGAGCCCAGAGAGGGCAGCATGTCTCCTTCCCCACCTGCTGCACCACCCCCACTCCACCACCCCAGTGATCGGTCAGGTCACTGGTGGTGAGTTCAACTGTCAGCAACACTCACAGGTCAGTGGGAAGTTAAGCACCTCCTCCTGTCCATTTGCCTTCTGAGCTGGGGTGACTATATATCCTTGCAGTTCTCAAACCCTGCCCTGCCTTGTGAGGTGTCCCCATGCTCTACAAACCCTGCTGTAAATAGCCCTTTATTCAATTCTGCAGATATTTCCCAAGTATGCTCTAAGTTCCCTCTGAGATCCTAACCCACCCAGCACACCTATGTTCTATTTTACTTTATTCTATGTGCATGGATTTTTGTCTGCATGTATATATGTGCACTGTGTGCTATAGAGTCTGTGAACCCCAGAAGAGGGCATCGAATCCCCTGAAACTGGAGTTAAAGACAGTTGTGAGTCACCATGTGGGTGCTGGGAATCAAACCCAGGTCCTCTGCAAGAGTAGCCAGTGCTCTTAGCCACTGAGCCATCTCTCTGACCCAGAGCATCCATATTCTACTCTGTATGAAGGGACAAGAGGGTAAAGTCACTCATCTGTGACCTCTAACTCCTGTGGAGAAAGTATAGATCCTCCTAAGGCTACAGAGGGTCTCAGGAAGAGCAGGTGTCTGCCTAAGCTGGGAGGACTAGACTGATTGGGCATGGGATCGCCATTGTTTTCTGCCTGTGGCTTAATGGGGCAGAGGAAAGAGGATGGGGGCTATTTAAAAGAGCCACAGTGGGAAAGGGGCTGTTGAAAAGGACGGCTGTGTCCCATGATCATGACCTCCTGCACAGTACCACAGACAAAAGCCTCCGGCAGGTTCTTTGGCAGCCCCTGGCTCTGCCACAATTAAATGCCAGGATCAAAGGGCCCGCGTTCCTCTGCAGGGCTAAGCCTGAAATGGTAGAGCAGAGTCCATCTTGTATTGGCTTTCTTATTTAACAGTGTAGATAAGTTAGAAGCATACACATCCTCTTCCAAAGGACCCGACAGAGCTACTGACATTTGGAGTGCCAGGGGAAAAAAGAAAACATGACAGGAGAAAAGCAACATTTCCCGGAAGTGGCCCCTTGGGGGTGAAATGACTGCTCCCCACCACTCAGTTCTCAGACCTTTCCATTCACAGGCCAAGATGGCACAGACATTTTTAAAGGGAGAAACGGAGGGAAAGAGCAAGATGGGAGGACAGTGCCAACAAAGTGTTGCCCACATCCAATTTTGTCAACTAAAGTTGTCATCCAATTTGTCAACAATTTTGTCATCAAAAGAGAACAACCTTCAGCCAATGCCAGCTGCTGATGCTTCTTTTAACGGGGACCTTTGAGGATGCCACTGTCCTCATCCCACCCTGGCAGACAGACCCAAGGCGGTCCTTCACCAGCTATGAGCCTGTGAGGTGTTTAGCAGCGTCCCGCACCTGTGCTGTGCATAGCCTGGAAGCCTTTTCTCTGCACCGAGGCATCTGAGTAAAACCTGAGAAACAGGCTGCTGCCTGTAGCCACCACAGGTTCCTGCTTCGTGTTGCTCAATCTCAAACTCATTGAATGTCTGGAGATGGGAGAGCAGATAGTGAGGTAAGGATCTGGCATTGAGAAGGGGAGGGGAGGGGAGGGGTGGGGAGGGGAGGGGAGGGGCACACAGGCCCTGGATGTATACATCTACCAGCTTTGCCAAGGTGCCCACCATTGCCGTGATAATGCAACATCCAGTCCCAGAGCTGGGCTACCAAGGGCCCAGATTTACTTCTTCCCACCCCCTCCTCTAATGCTAGAATCCAGCTAGGACTGGGCGCTCACCCTCGCTGGCAGTTGTGTTATGGGCTTTACACATGTTCCCTCATTCAACCTTTGAAGCCCTGTCCCATGCACAATCCCTGCAAGAAAATGTCAGATGGCTTGTGCAGGGTCCTCATGGGCTGAGCTAGTGTGTAGCCTGGGAACCGTGGTTTCAGACATGCTGCTGTTAGCCTGTGCACACTACCATACACTTGGAATTCCAGTGGCTTTGAGCAGGGCCACACCATGTGGCCATTATCCTCAAAGTGGATGACATTCTTTTTTTTTTTTCATGACAATCAATTACGGGAATTTTCTCATTTAAGTTCTAATGAAGTTAGAGAGATCTATTATTATCCCCAGTGGGCAGAAGAGGAAACTGAGTCATAAAGACCCTAACTGGAGTGAGAATTGAACAGGACCCAGAGACAATCTTCTCCAGGCCACACTATTAACCATAACCAGATTATTTTGTCTTTTTTGTTCCTGTCCCTCCACCAAAGATTGTCCCCAGTTATTGGGGAGCTGGACATTTCAGTCCATGGCTATGGTCTGCGTGTGGTGTCAAGGTGAGCTGAGAGTGTGAGGTGAAGGCTTGGACCAAAGGACAGAGTGGGAAGGGGGCACTGGTTGTACGTGTGTGTGTGTGTCACACACTGTAGTAACAAAAGGCAGAGTCGGTCAACATACCCACCAACCACATTCCAAGGAAATGTCTTTTTCAGACTAATTCTTGTGTGTAGACAGCTCAGGTTAAGGCATCCCATTCTGCAGGTTTGAGGACCCACCCCCAGGGCACACTGTTCTTCATGATCAGCATGATCCTTCATGCTGAGGAACAGTGCATGTTTCCAGCAGGTGGCAGTCGGGGACAAAGGTGGCCTCTCAAAGGCCCTCACTTTATTTAACTCATCCTCATGTAGATTCTACACTGCTCGGAGGGACCCAGGGCAGAAGAAAGCAGTTTCTACAAAGACAGCACATGTCGTGTACAGAAGGTGCCCAAGGAGCATGCCCTATGGTCTGGAGTCCCTTCTGTACCCATGATGCCTTGGGACCCATTAATCTGTCCTTGTGCAGCAGGAAACTCCCTGGCACTATTACCTACAAATCAAATCACCATGTCTCTCTCTATTTTCTTCTCTCCTCCTTGCATTATTAGTCTGTCATTTATAAAGTCTATCTCGCTTATCTCAACAGTCTGAGGTGTGTGTGTGTGTGTGTGTGTGTGTGTGTGTGTGTGTGTGTGTGTGACTATGTGTGTGTTTGTTAGCATTGTGTATGTGCATACGAGTCTGTGTGTGTTCCTATGTATGTGTGTCAGATTCTCTAGCTGCTAGTTGCTATACACACCATACACTACAGGTCATGGGTTGGGGAGCTAAGACGAGGTGTTTGGAGAACAAACTTTTTTTTGTAAATAATGAAATGTGCTGTGCAAGACTACATATCATATGCACAGATGAGACTTCTATAAATGCAAGACAATTGTTGCTTTTTTAACTGAAGGAAGAATTAAGATAGTGGCATCGATGTTCATTGAAAAAAAGATGTAGATTGCAGGAGTATGAATAATTGTATTTATTCCATGTGAGTGATATGAATAAGAAAAAAACCCAGGTACAGGTTTTCCCATGTGTGTGAAACTTCCAGAGAGAGTCACAAATTTCTAGAGTGGGAATAAGGGGCCTGAGAACTTGTGACCTTCCTCTGCCAACTGTCTGCATAAAGTAAGCCTTTTGTTTTTTGTTTTCTTCTTCAGGAATGTAATGTTCTGTAAGAGACCTGTTCTCAAAACAACTGGATTCCACACAGCACTGCGGACCTGTGTCACACAGTGCCACCGGAAGCAGTGCTATGACAGAGCTCTGAACATGCTCCCATCTTCTGCCCAGCAGCCCCACTACAAGATTTACAGAATCTCCCAATTTCCCAGCAGCAAAACTGAGACCTGGACGTGCCCCATGCTGGACATGGAACAGGGAATTGAACTCATGTCTGCCTAACACCAAAGTTTATGCTCTTGGCGAACTAATGAAGCAACTCACAATTTTCACCCTGTGGCCTGCAGTTGACGAAATGTTCCAGGTGCATTCCTTCCGGCTGGGGTATTTGTCAGGCCAGTTGGGGCTCATCAGGGTCCCCTCTGCACTGCTGATCTTGTACGCACAGCCAGCTGGAGGCCAGAAGGGACAATCAGAGGGGTCATTTAACTGGGGGCAGCATCACAGGGGAGTCTCCATGTCAATATCCAATGCATGGCAGCCAGCCTGGATCTGCTGTGACCCGGTGCTGACTTTGAAACAAGCTCAGGCGGAGAGAGTTCTGTAACTATGAATATTCGCCTGGAGCTTGCTGCTGTGGACAGGGTAGGGTTAACTCCTGCCTGGAGCACAGGCCCTGGGGTCAGGTGGGGTCCAGTGAGAGTACTGGTTCCTCAACTTATGTGACTAAGATCTCTCATGCTCTCATGTGTAAAAGTGATGCCAGGCTCATACATGTGGGTTAATGTCACATGTAAAAGGCCTAGAGAGTGCCACCCATGGTGACTGTTAACAGAGATCCCTGGGTCACTATGCCTTCCCCCCATCAGTCTCATCTATGACCTGCCTGCTTTATCCAGGTCACCCATTATTAGCCAAGAGCGGTACCATGGCTTGCTTGGTGATTAGTATTTTGAGTTTGTCTTCTCTGTGGTGAGTGGTTTGCATGCATCCTCTCACTTAATTTTTCCCATCTCCAAATAAAAAAAAAAACAGAAAGAGGCATGTGGCCTTCACATCTTCCACCGTCCTCCAAATCCTTCACTGACCCAGGGCAGGGCAAGGCCTGAAGCGATGTTTATCACAGATACACAAACTCCCTTCACTGGGCAAGGTATATACTAAGGGCAGGATTCTTCCACAATGGTTGGACATGCAGAGCCATCTGGCTCTGAAGGGAGCAAGCAAAATTCCTCACATTCTATCTCATCCTCAGTCCTACACTCGGCACTAATGACAAAGACACAGGCCTAATATTTACGGACACCTAGAATACACAGTATGTACCAGACTGTCTCAAACACCTCCTAGGCAGGCTGGAAGCCTTACAAAACCCTTTGGTTTACCTTGTTTACCCTGCTTGCCATAGAAGCTTAGAGTATTGCAGTAACTAGCTAAAGGTTACTTAGCTAGGGAAGGGCAGAGCCACAATTTAGATCTAGGTTTTATCGATTCTGGAGCCTACTGGCTTAACCAGTCTGTGATAGGCACTCATCTCAGACCTCCTGATCAGCAGTCCCCAGGACAATTAATTGCTGTCCCACAGGAGAGCTACCAGAGTGGAGGAGATTCAGACAGAGATCTCACAGCATTCTAAAGATAGCGGCTCCCCAAGCCAACTCCTACCCACACCCCTCCCTTACCCACTCACACACCTAGAGAAACGGGTGCAGCCCAGACAGTGCCAGCCCAGCAGCTCCAGCTCACCCTCTTTGCAGTCATGTCCGTTCTCATGGAGTCGGTACCCGTTCCCGCACCTGCACAGGTAGCTCCCGAATGTGTTGACACACTCCTGCTGGCAGCCGCCATTGTCCTTGGCACATTCGTCCTTGTCTGTTGAGACGGATGGGCTCTCCTGAGAGGAGCTGCCAGCTTCCCACTGCCCCCTGTGGCTCAGAACCTGCCCAAAGCAGCTTCCTCCAAGGAGCCTCCCAGATCACATCCCCTTAAAGTCATAGAGTGGGCATCTTTGTTTGGGATATTTGGGACATCCACTGGTGTCTTTGGGGTTCTTTGTCTTCCTAAAACACTTTCATGCATGGGACATATGTTCTCTGTCCTGCTTCCACCCAAACCAAGGATCTACCTGAAGGACAGACTCACATAAACAGCAACAGCAGCAACAATGAAAATGACCACAGAATGAGTCCTTGTCCCTTTCTATGCGTTATTGTTAGTTAAGTTAGTTCCCACTCAAGCTTAGAAGGGTGTATCTGTACGTCCCTCCCCAAGTTTGCATGCAAAGAAACAGGCCAAGGCAACTCATACACCCAGTCATCAGCAAGAAGCTCATTATGACCCAGATGGGTCTGGGCACACACTGTTCCCTGTGTGTGGAGAGGTAAGTATGGGGGTCAGGAGCCACGTGGTGGGTGATGCCCACTTCACTTCAGCAGGGCATTGCTTGAGTCTGTGCCCTGGTTGTCTTGGGTTTCCTTAGGCTGCTGGAGGCGAAAACAAATGGGAACCAAGAAAGCCTTCAGGAGAATGTCCAGACCCTAGGAAGTGCTGGTTGTTACAATTATAACCACATGTGACCCCTAGTACTGGCTGTTATCCTGTGGTTGCTGAGGCTCTAGCTGGTGTGGACCTCTCCAGAGCCACCTTCTTCCTGCAGTAAACGAGGTTCTGCTCCACCCTACCCCACCCCTGCCTTTCCCCCACTCTATATGCGCCTCAGGGATTATTGGTGCAGCCTTCCCTCTGTACTCTCTTGCCATCATAGTGGTGGTGTTTGAGAATAGTTCACATTGTATCTCATGGGGACAATCAAAACCCCATCCAGAGCTCTCCGAGTACAAATTGACTGTCACAGCCCAAGACTGCCCTCTCCTTTCCCCCTTCCCTTCCTAAGTCCTCCTGCTAACACTCATGGGTCCTCACCCTGCTAAGACTAGCTTCTCTGTCTCTGGATTCTGTGTGTAAAAAATGGAACTGTACCCCTCATTAGGGCCTTGCGTATTTTTCTCTTAGGAGATTCCTGTCCCCCTCAACTCCATCCTGCCTGGCCTGGTTTGATCACATGACACTTGTAGGCCTTCCTCCTCAGAAGCTACAGAGAGCTCGACATCCTGTCACACTGGATTCCACTCTTCAGACAACATTCAGGGCTCATTATGACCAAGCCTGCCTGACCTGGGCTGCCTGTGATGTCCCCAGTCAGCCATAGCTTCTGCCAGTCTGGTCTGACCAGTCTTTGTGAACACTGAGACCCTTGAAACCAAGTTCACAATACCTCCTCTTCTCCAGACCTTGGTCACTTTCTTTATAGTTATACCATCTCTGCCTCAGCTCTTCAAATCTGTTCCAGATCACACACATCAGGCAAAAAGCCTGTTCCCACTGCCTCAGGCCCCCTCTCCTCCACGTATCAACCGTTGTCAGCCTGCCCTAAGCTGAGACTCACCAGGATGTTGTCTTCCTGGCCTCCCCAGCCAGGGCAAGTTTATGCAATGATGGATGACATCCAGGCAACCTTTTAGCTCAGGTCTGTGCTGTGTCCATGACACAAAACAGAACTTGCTCAGTGGGAGACGGCCTCCCCCAAAAGTCAAAGACAGAACTCTGAGTACCTACAAAGCCAACCAATAATGGGCCTGCTTCATTGCCTAGTACTGAGAGAGCGATCCAAACACCCTTTTGAGCAGTTCACACTCCAGGGTGATGTGACCAACAGGACCCACTACATACTTTGTGGTGTCCTTGAGTTCTGATTTCTGGCTCATAGAACTTAAGAGAATAAAATTCTTTGTTTTAAGCCACACTTGGCATGTGGCAACTTGTTGGGGTGTCCCCAGGAGATGAACGGGGCCACCTGTAAAAAAAACACTCTCAATGTGGGGATGTAGAGGAAGTTGGAGAAGGCAGAGAGGAGGCTGCAGGAACTCGGGGTCCAGGAGCCTTCGGGCCTCTGCAGGCCCGCCCCACCTGCCTGAGAAGAAGTGGGCCTTGAAGCCTCGTTTGGAGACCGTGTTGTCAGACTTGAACTCCACACGCATGTTGTTGCTCTGCGATGTGATGACCTCGGGGGTCTCTGAGCCACAGAACTTGCCGTGAAGCTTGGCGTCAGGGGACAGGCCACTTCGCACCTCCACGAAGTCATACTTACAGACCTGTGAGTTAGCAACCTGACAGTCACAGCCCAGCACAGTCCTCCCGTCCTCCCCTCCTAAGTCCTCCTGCTGACACACATGGATCCTCACCAGACTCGCCACTCCAGACTACACCCTTCCCTGTGGGCCAATGGGCTCCATCAGTATTGGAGCTGGAGCCCCCTGGATTATCACTGTGCTGACGACAGCCAGAGGGTAACAGGGACTTTCCAGCTAAGGCTTTGTGAGGTGCAGCTGCCTGGCAGCAGAATATAAGGTCCTTACTTGCTTCTACTTATTTATATCTTGGGCTGCCACAAGGCACTGGCTTCAGTGAAGAGCCCTGTGGTTAGGAGATGGCAAAGGAGGAGAGAGCAAGGGAGGGGATGTCTTCAAACCATGGCCACAGTCCCACTCCATCATAGCCTCATGTGGACAAACTAATGCCCAGAAGGGCAAGACCATTGTCTGACGTCACCCGGCTCAGCAGTGGTGGAGCTGGGACTAGATAGAATCCACATTACCTCATGTAGCACAGAATTCTCTTTGAAAATAATTTAAATGCTGAATGTCTGGTCAGTTACTTTCAAATGTCTGTGTCTGAGTGTGTGTGTGTGTGTGTGTGTGTGTGTGTGTGTGTGTGTGTGTTATTTGTGCATGTGGCCATGGAGGTCAGGAGAGTTATGTGTGATTGCGGTGCTGGGAGTTGCACTAGGGTCTTCTGTAAGAGCAGTGCTCCCTCTTAACTTCCTGAATTTGGGACTTTGGGCATGGAAGTCTCTTTTGTTCCCTAAAAGGGTGATGGAATGGGCAAAAGCTAGGTTTCTGCTGTTAAAGTGACAGTCCCAGCTGGGCTTTGACAGGGGTACAAGGAGAAGTACATGTGCCCCGGGGGCTCCTACTATTCCCAGCATGAGGTGTTCTGTCACCACTCTGGTTGTGGGGTACTGCCAGGGCTTCTTCTGACTTGATTATCTATAGCACTTCCAAGAGACAGGGAAAGGCTGTTTATAGTATCCTTGTCTGCTGCTGGCCCCCAGTGCCTTTATTCCCCTCTGCTGGACACTAGTCCCCAGTTCCACACCTTGAAGTTTCAATTTGCCCTAACGTCTGTGTGCCCAACTCCTGCCTCCTTCACTCTTGATCCCATCTCTCCCTTGGACTTAGTGAAATGGACAGGCAGCTAAAATGACTCAGTGAAACACCGCCCCCTTTTCCACAGCTTCTGAGTCTGCCTAGTCTACACCCCAGGTCTCCACCAAAATCAGCAGTTTCACCCAGGCCACCCTGATGCCTGAAGAGCCTGTCCTAGCTCTTTATCACTTTTCAACATGGCCACCACCCCATCTGTTTTGGGGCACAGACATACATCATTGCCTTCCAGCTCAAATGCTTCAAACTGCAGGGAGATGCGGTACTGCGTAGGGGCCACCACTTGCCAGACACAGTTCTTGTTTGTGGGATACTCCTTTGGCCACCCAGGGCTGGTGATGGTGCCGTTTAGCTTGGTAATGAATCCACCACAGGCCACTGCATGGAGGGAAATAGACTTTAGATTCATCTGGTTTTGGTTCCAAGTGACTGCAATTTCCCCCAAGCATCAGGAAGACCTGCTGTCCTTTAATAATTGTGAAAAAGTTAGGCAACCTGAACTGACTCACATTCTTTTTTCTAGGTGAATGGTTTCCACTGAGGCTTTGGAGGAACAAGCTGGCAACACATCTCCTGCTCTTAAAGTAATGACAGAGCATTTGACCTGTCATACAGTTGGGGACGCCACAGGTCTTGGACCAAAGGAGAGTTAGAGATGTCTGTATCAAGCTACTCACTGTGCCAGGCTTGTGTGAGCAAGTGGATTCCTGTAGGTGGGTAGGTGGGCTGAGCCCAAGTCACATGGGAAAGAGGTAGGTGAGGGGTTATCAACCAAATCCTGCCAGAGCATCCTAATTCCTTGTGGTTTTGCCATGACAACCACATGAATTTTATATACTCACAGTAGGCAACAGTCTCTGTCTCATGGCTTCAAAGATGACTGGAACCTTATATTTGTGACTATCCCTGCTTGTTTCTGCCTCGGAAAAGTAGAGGCTCTCCTGACCATCATTAGTTCATGGTCATCCACCTGCCCATCTCTGTCTCACATCCCTTGTAATTTCAACTTGACAGGTCCAACACCAACCTTCACATGTCTTTTTGTCGGCAGCCAGCTCGTAGCCAGGGTCACAGGCACATGTGTAACTGCCGAGGGTATTGACACAGCGTTGCTCACACCCACCATGGTCTGGCCAAGAACACTCATCCACCTCTGTAGGGAGGGAAAGTGACAGGGCTAAATGTCACCAAGATGCACAGTTCATATCCTCCCTTCCATAACCTAGGGCTCCAAGAACATATCTCTAAGGCAAGAGCTACTCTCAGTGGCCACTTGACAGTCACATGCAGCAGCTTCAGTCAAAGGTGGAACCCTGACCACGTGAACAAGGGCATCTAGTGATCCAGAATAGAAAGGGCCAAGCCTGGAGAGCAGAATTATGCAAGGTGCCCATTCCCTGTACACGAGTGGTTTTATAAGTCTCATCAGGTTCCACACCAGGGGCCACATCATTTTAATACCACGGGATTGGAATTCTCCACCTAAGTACAGAACTCCTTAGAGACATTCAGCAAAAGATGCCAAGGGAAGGATGCATTTCTGGATGAAGATGTGCAAATATCCTAGACAGAACTAGAAGTCTGCTGGAATTCTCAGATTAGCCACTGCTCATGGGAGAAACTGTTGGGTAAACAGGAAGGAGGCTTGCAGGTGGGTAGCCTGAGGGTTTCAGCACAAGCAGGTGTCCAGTGGTGTTCCCAGGGCATTAAACAACGATGAGTAGGATGCTATGAGCTCTGACCATAGATAGAACACAGGAGTCACTGGAGAATCCCCCTGGAGATGTTAGTTCACAAGCCACTGATGTAAAGAAAATCATTAGCATTGGCCATCTCCAAGAAGAGTTTTAAAAGTAAAAGGAAAACCATTCTGTTGCCAGGCTGTGGTACACCTATCCATGAAAGATAGCATACAGGGTGTCCCCCTGACTATGCCAGAAGAGTCTAACGAAGGGACCACTCAACATCATTTTAAAATGCAAAATGGGCGGGGCAGGAAGGACAGTGCAGATCCATGGCACCAAGGAAAGCAGGTGCAGAGAAAGATGAAGTTGTTGGCCAGACCTCGAAAGAATGACTTATACAAGGAAATTAAAGAAATGAGAATATCTAAGAGTTGGGAACAACCTGAAGAAATGCAACCTTCTCTCTCTGGTTTTCCCTCTCTACTGCCCTCTTCCAACTCAAATGAACCTACTCTGGGCCCATCTTTCTTGTCTGTGATGCCTGAATCCCTTATCAGCCTGACTGCCCTTCTCCAGGAGAAGAAGCTCGTCAGAACCCTAGCACTTGACTCAGTGGATGTTATACAGAGTAACTCTGAATAGCAGGTGTTCTTGGACCCAACAAAAACTGAAATGAGTTGGTCATTAGGCACCTAGATATGTTATAGGAAGGGAAGGGACGTTGTCCATGGCTGTTAATAAATGTAATATTGAACATGTTGCAACAGTGTTCAAGTAACTATTTGCTCATTGTGTTGAAATATACAAAGAAGTCTCTTAGACATCTGCCAAAAATTTTTGCAAAGATGAGAATAGGTAGGATAACAGATAGCAGTGGAAAGAGTCTGGGCTTTCAGGTAAGATGGGTCAGGTTGGATCAATTGATGTGATCCAATCACATGGACTTGGATGCTGCTTGTTTAGCTTCTCTGAGCTTTCCTCTAGTTTGAAAATCACAAGAATGGCCTTGGCTTTTGTGGTGGTTGAAAATTATGGCTGTGAAGGACTGGTGCATAGTCAGTGTGCAGGGTGGTCACTTCAAGCCGCTCTGACACAGTTTTGGCAATTCCAGCAGATGGAAAGATAATAATAGGGACAGTGGAAGGAGAAAGCTGCATGGACCCATCTGTGGCAGGCAGAAGTACAGTGGGCCGGAAGAGAGGAGAAGGACAAGAGCAGATGAAGGAAAGTGTTGTGGAATATTAGTTGGAGATGTGTTATGTTTGTCTAATGATACAAAGATGTGTTGCATTCTGTTATGCTGCGTCTGCCTAACTCTGTGAAGCTGTGTTACTTTGCCTGTCCAAAATGCCTGATGGTCGAATAAAGAACTAAATGGCCAATAGCTAGGCAGGAGAAAGGATAGACGGTGCTGGCAGGCACAGAGAATAAATAGAAGAAAAGGAGAAGAGGGAGGAACAAGAATGAGAAGAGGAAAAGGAAGAGCCACCCGGCTACACAGCAAGCCATGCAGTAAGAAATAAAGAAAGGTGTGTAGAATAGAGAAAGATAAAAGCCCGGAGGTAAAGGTAGTTAAGAAAAGCTGGATAGAAACAAGCCAAACTAAGGTGGCAGGTCCCCAAAGAGCAAAGAGTAAAACAAAACAAAACAAAACAAAAACAGGGAAGGGCTTGAAAGATGGGCCAGTGACGGGGGAATTATGGACAGGAGCGGTGCAGGTTCAAGAAACTGATCAGAGGGTAGAGAAAACTTAGAAAAGATCCTATGAGAAGAGACAAAGATAAATAAGACCTGAG